GAATTTGGGTGCCACACTTTTTGAATCAGTCTGATCGACTGCGTGTTCTACTGTACCATGTATGATTCTTGTCCGTTCCTATTTCCTTCATGCCAGATTATGATGTGGCTTTATATTGTGCCTTACTTGTACATTTAGAACTAAATGTTTTTATTTTTCATTCCCCTGAACCTGTTAAATCCTTTGACCCTTCTGAAAGCAAAATCAGAACTATGATAAAAGCATCATGAAGGAACTTCAAATGAATCTGATTTCAAATTCTCTTAATAGTCACTTTGTATTTGTATGGAAGACCAATTTTGAATGGCCTTGGGAGATGGGGGTGCTAGGGCTAAACAAATAAAATAAAAAATATTTTCCACTACATCCCTTCAGCTAATGCTTTCTCTGACTTTCATAAGTTTATCAAACAAGTTTTCTGATTTATTTTTGGGGGGGTGCTTATTAAGTCTCCAGTTAGATGTGGAAGTGCTTGATTCTCCTCTCATAGCAGTATAAATCAAGAATAACAACACTGACATCTGTGATATACATTGATGTAAAAGTGATGTGAGAGTCGGGTCCAGGTGTGCTCAGTTCATCAGCTTGAAGTTTAGTAAGCTCTTTTTCCAGTTTAAAAAAAATAGCAGTAAAAAGCAAAATTCTTCCCTTATAAAATGCATGGCGGGTCTTTTAAGTAATCTAAAAAGGACCAGACATATTTCTGAAATACAATACTGCCAGTTTGGGTTTCATTTTTAAAATCTATACCATTATCTGATGTTTGCCTTCATTTAATAAAACTATTAATTTATTCACAAAAATGTCAAGAATGGATGTGCTTTTATCTTCCATAAATCTTTTTAAAACATATAGATAGGTGAAAAATCTTAGTTTTTTAAAAATATCTATTTTGAAAGGGTTGTATACAGTTGCCTTCAGCAGAAATAGCAAATATAATTTTGTTCCTCAAACTTGCTTAGCAGTCTTCCTGAAATTGTGTTGAGGCATAGCCCAGCTATGTAACGTGAATATTAGTATTTTTATTTGGCCTTGGGACATGAATTTGAAGAATGTGTCTAATCATGATTTTTTTTTTATTTTAAAGTTAAAGGTTTCAGTTGGGTACCACTAGTTCAGTATGCTACCAGATGAAACCTTGGCTTATTCACAGAGCTGCAGTTCATTTTGTTTACCCGGGATCAGGCAAAATACATTTCAAATAGTTACTGCTGAAGTGGCTGATTCTTATTGTAACCATATAAAGGGCATTACATGTTGAGAAAACACCACTTTTTTTTAATATCCGTTTTACATTGGAGATATCTCAATGTCCGCATTGCGGAAGTGGTACTCTAGAGTATATTTTTTTCACTGCATCCAAAAACTGAATGATACCTTGCTGATGATGTTTGATTTACATTTTACAATAGGCCATGATTTTTAAAGGATATAGCATAGTAAGGTGTGTGTGCTGAATTTATACCCCTCAGCCTCTTAGACATTCATGAACTTCCACAAAGGCAAATGCTGATTATGCATTTATTAACTGTCTTTCTATTGAGCAATGGAGCCAAAAATAAAGCCAGATCTATTTAAGACCAATCTCAATTTTATTTTTTAATCTGGACAAAAATCCTAAACTCTTTATTTTAAGCAAGCAATATATACTGTAGTACTGTATCACCATTTAAAGATTGAATGGGTTAGGAACATTGGAGAGTTAGACATCTGGATAAGCCAAACTTGGGTGTGTAGAATGGTTAGAGTAGGATTCTCTTGGCTTGGACTTCGTAATTACAAATGCATCTTCTACCACAATACTTCCTTTTTTTCCTTCCTCTTTGTGACGTTAAAAACCAAAAAAATGTAGTGGTTTAAATGTAGCTGCTTTTTGAACCTTTCTTAGAACACTATATTCTACTAACTGCATTTCTGTTGATTGAACCACCCTTTTCCCCTACCCTTTTTAGAAAACTTCATCCGTCTAAAAGATGTCTTGTTAGCTCAGTAATTGTGGCTAAGAATGAACTCTAAGGCTGATGGCACATGGTGGATTTAGTGAACTGACTGAAAGGCAACAATTAAAATAATTTTTAACAAAACGTGGCAACCTGCTCTGCTTATGCTTGGGGTCATGTTTGTAATGCTGTCCTCAATATTCTGTAGTCAATTTCCAACTGGAGCTCAGAAAAACTTTACTGAAAGTCTTGTGTCTCTGTCAGAAAATAATTTTACCTTGTTAAAAGCATGATCTGTTAAGAGTTGCAATGTTTAATGTTGGTTAATAGTTGTGCAGTTTTCTTTTTAAAGAGGCACAATTAAAATATTGATTTTTGTTTACTCTGTCACCCTGGAGCCCTAGCACTTCTATTCAGATACAAACTCATCAATGTATGCAACATCCTTTGTAATTTAAAATAAAAAATTGTGGAGAAAAAACAGTTCTCAAATTCTTGTGCATCCCATTTGGTGTGTTCTCTCTCCTGCAGTGCATCAGCTGAGGCATTGCTTCTATAGTTCTCAGGTAAAATTACTTGGGTTTCCCCTGTAGAATGTTGTACTGACATTGCAGGAAGCTTGAAGCCCTCTTCCCCGCCCCCATAGAACAGGGACAGCACAGTCATTAACAGGATAAGCTCCTCCCATTGCCCCACTATCATGCTTCAATATTCCTCTTGGAGGGACCATTACTAGATATGAGGATAACTTAGTCTCTATCCCCATTCAGTCCTTGGCATAGTAATAGCAACTAGCTGAAAAGGTGCTGGAGTGACGTGGACAGTTCTCCAGTAGAATCTAGACTGAGACCACCAAGTTATTTTACAAAAGCCACAAAACAGCTATGATATGGTCTCTGTGGACTTCGGTCTCTGCTGCCCTTTCAAGGTACAGGTCTGTAGCATCTTACTTGCATTTAACATGCGCAATTTCAGCTTTACGCGGTCGGCAAAAAAAAAAAAGAGAGAAAAATAATAATTTTAATACTGTACTTGTAGTGCGGGCGATTCCGCCCGCCATTCAACTCAATGTAATTTTGACTATATGCGGTTTTCGCTTTACGCGCTAACCACGGAATGGAACCCCCGCGTAAGATGAGACTCGCCTGTATGTTTAGCAAACTGCACACTTTAGGCTGGGAGGAACCCCTTTATGCATGCTAGAATGAGGTGGTGAAAAAGCAGGATCCTGCATTAACACACTCTTCTCTTTTTGTATTCTCAGGTGGAGAGTGTGTAACAGCCATTCAGGGCCGGCTCCAGGCACCAGCCGAGCAAGCTCGTGCTTCGGGCGGCAGATTCCAAAGGGCGGCATTCCATCTAATCTTTTTTTTTTTTTGCTCTTCACTGCTTTGGCTGCCCCTGCAGGTTTTTCTTTTGGTTTGCTGCTCCTGCTGCCCTGTAGGGGGCGAGGAGGGAAGCGCCCTGCATCAAGCCCGGCAGGGCAGCCCGTGTCCTTCCCTGCCTGCCAACCGGAGCGGCGCGGAGCCCTCCCGGCAGC